GATTGATTCTAATTCTTCCTCCTCCTGTATTTCCTTTCCTCATTGATTTTGTTCTTTGACATTTAGCAAGAGGTTTGAGGTGGTTCTCATTAATAGATACACTGACAAAGAGGGAAAAACAATGGGGCCCAAACTAAGTAATCTAGTTGTGTTTCATTTGCAAATTAATAGTCATTAGGCTCTTAATTGTTTTCTTTGTTGTGCAGTTTTTAATTTGATGACATCCACTTATTGATTCTTGGTTTTATTTCTTGAGGTTTAGGAGTCTGGTTGATGGCCAGATTGCATTTATATGATGGAGGGTTAACCTGATTGTTTTCTCCTAGCAGTTGCAAGGTTTCTGGTCTAACTCCTATGTCTCTGATGGCTTTGATTTAACTTTTGTGCAGGGTGGGTGATAGGCACCTAGTTTCATTTTTCTGCATGCAGATGTCTAGCTTTCCCAGTGCCATTTGTTGAAAAGGCTATCTTTTCTCTGACATCTTATTGGCACTGTTTTAGTTAGCTTTTTTTTTTTTTTTTTTTTTTGCTGTTGTGACAAAAAGACCCGATGAGAACAATTTTTGAGGAAGACACGTTTATTTGACATTTAAGGTTTCATTCCATTGACTGCTGACTCCATTGCTTTGGGCCCAAGGTGAAGCAGAACAACATGGTGAAATGGTGTGGAGGAGGAAATCAGTTCAGGGCAGGGGAATTGAGAAGCAGAGAGACAGCTCTGCTCTAACTAGGGACAAATGCATACCCTAAGACCCACACCCTGTGATCTATCTCCTCTACCCACACCCTAGCTGCCTACAGTTAATCCATATCAGTGGATTAAGCCACTGATAAGCAATACCTTTAAAAAACCTAAAGATTTCATCTCTCAATGTTCTTACATTGTCTTATACTTGAGTTTTCTGGAACACCACATATCAAAATCATAACATTCTGCCTCTGGACCCCCAAACTCACTCCCATTTCACATTGCACAAGACATTTACTTTTCCCAAGTATCCATGAGTCTTAACATTTTTTGCCTCATCCAAAAGTTCAAGACCAAAGTCTCCTCTGACACTCAGGGTAAACTATCAGCATGAGCCCTGTAAAAATCAAAAGCAAGTTACACACATCCAGTGTAAAATGGCACAGAATAAACATTTCCATTTCACGAGTGAAAAACAGAAGCATAGAAAGAAGAGATGAGATGGAAACAAAATTGAATTGGAAACAAAATCCAGCTAGATAAACTGTACCTACACACCCAGAAGCTGGAGCACACAGAATGGAGATGTTCTCTCCAAAGGGCCTATGTAGCTCCTCCCCTGGGGCATTGATTTCTGCAGCCCATGTGACCTCTCTCCTGGCCTGTTTTTACTGGATTCCTGCAACTTTCCTTGGCAGATATCTCACCTAATGGGTATCTCTTAATTTGGGGGGATCTTCACTGAAGCTTTGACTTCCTTCTCATTTCTTCATACATTACCTTCTGAGGGGAAGCCCACAGGAATTCCAACCCTGCTACACTTCTCCTGGCACCTGAAAGAATTCCCCACGCAAAGACACTTCGCCAGGAGAATTCCAATTTTATTGCAAAAAGCAGTGTGCTTATATAGAACTAAGGGGGAGATGGTAGGGTTTCGATAAATGGCAGGCAACCCGTTTATTGGCAAGTTCTTTCAGATATCAGCTCCGGAGCCCAGGAATTAGTTCTCATTGGGGCTAAGGTTCCCCGCCAGCGAGGTTTGAAATTGGCGCCGACGGGAGAGTTCACACGGGTGGGAACTTTTCGCGCCACTGCAGAAAAGAAGAAGGTAGGAAGAAGAGGTGCTTAGGCGCCATGTTGGGGTTTTTTCTCTGGGGTATGGCTGCCGTTTATACTTTTCCAACAGCACCCAAGGCCTTTCTTTGAAATCTTGGTGGAAGCTTTCGTACCCCTTAATTCTAACTGTTAGAGTCTGTAAACAAGTCAAGATGGCGCCTGGCAAAATGCCAGAGGGAGTGGTTTGTGAAGTAATGCCAGGGAGCCATTAAGTGTGGAGATTCCTTATTGGTTGACTGATGTATCTAGTTTATGCTAATTAAGATAAACTGTGTGAAATGTATAAATACCGCTCCTGTCCTACAATAAACGGCTTCCACTCCTGCTGTATCAATCTACACAAGTTGTTCGTCACACCCCAGTTATTTTGCTGCAGCCGGACTGCGGCACTAACATTCTGCATTCCTGTGAATTGGCACCTTGTGGTTGGTGCCAAGGTCTGTCCCCATCTCCAGCAAGAGCCAAGCCTCCCCAGACTGCAGCTTCAGCAGCCTCTGAATGCCTAGGCACCTGAGCATGTTGAAACTATTTCCTAGGATCCCTTGCAAGAAAGGTGCCCTATTCTTCTCTTTCCAAAGGAATTTTTACTTTTGTACTCCTGAAACTGAGGTAGATGTGGTGTCTCCATGTCTCCAAAATGCCCCAAAGTCATCTTTCCTATTGTTTCTTTGTCAAGTATTTAGCATCACTTTAGTGACTCTAATCCCTTTAACAACCCCCAATTTTTTAGCCCTGGTTTTACTGCCACTTTTCTGGACAAACTGAAAGTTTTTCAAATATTTCTGCTCTCTGTTCTGCTCCTGATTGTTATAGTAAACTTAGCCAAAAGCTGCCAGTAATATTCATCTACCTCGTGAATATTGTGCTGCCTTGAAACTTCCTCCACCACATTAATTATTCCATCATCTTTAAATTCAGACTCACTCACGGAATGTCTCAGGCCATGAGGAAATTGTAGACAACTTCTTTGCAAGAACATAACATGAATGACCTCTATCCAAATTCCATTAGAATTCTCCTTTTCCTTTTAAACATCATAAGCCCAAACTTTACTGTCCACAGTCCCATCTGTGGTCTACAGAGCTCCCACCAGAATCACCCATTAATATCCACTTACCACATTCCAAAGCTTTTACAACTTTCATCTTTAAATTTTCAAAATTCATACACAAAATTCCAAAAAGTTCCCAAATCTTCTGAACCACATGGTCAGATTAGTCACAATAATGACCCCTCTCCTCTGTAGTGATTTCTGTATTAGTCAGTTGTTTTTTTTTTCTGCTGTGACCAAAAGACCTGACAAGAACAGTTTTAGAGGAGGAAAACTTTACCTGGGTGCTGGGAGCCATTAGCCAAGTAGGTATGACAATTTCCTTGCCAGCGTACCCCATGTTGCAGTGACATTGAATGTACGTGACCTTGCTCAAGGACCAAGGCAGATTAGGGTGTTCCCGGTTTTAAGATAATCTTGTTTAGGGCGTTCCCAGTTTAGGTTCCAGGTTTAAGGTTTAAGATTATTCCTGCTGGGAATAGGGCGTATCCTGCTGCCTGAGTTCCCCTTGAGTTCTCACGGGATTCAGACAGTATATTTTGGAGATAGAAGCCCAGTGGATGTGGATTTGGGCAGAGAACGTGAATTTGGGAGAGAAGGTGGATTTGGGAAGAGAACGTGGATTTCCCCAGAACGTGATTGTAGACGGCTGGTGTGAGTTCGGGAATAAAGAGTTGCTGTTTGAATCTACAAGCTGTGTGGTGGCTCGTGATTGTGTGCCCAGCCAGACTGCGGCATTTGTGCCCAGCCAGACATTGGCATTTGGTGGCCCGTATGGGGAACTTCTGAAGCCTGGAGGTAAGTGAAATTGCTCGCCCCTGAGGAAGAGCGAAAGAATGGGTGACCAATTCAAAAAACAATGTGTTATTGTTTTGATTTATTTTGTTTTTGTTTTGAGCTGCCTGTTCTTAGAACTTTCTCAGGCAAACTGGGGAAAATGGTTGACTCAAGGTTTGAAGTTGTTCACCTCTGAGCAAGAGAAATTGTTAGAGGAAGGAGGCACCCCAGTGAGACCAAGAACAATTAGGGCATATGTTGATACAATACAAAAATGTAGCCCATGGCTTTTTAAAGACGAGTTATTAAGTATATCAATGGGACCACCATGGTATCCTGTAGAAGGATTTTTCTTCAACAAGAAAGAGATGGCTAGTTCTGTTTGCTACACTTGTCTAAGATCTTGGTTTCTACAAAGTTCTGATTAATTTACAAAGCTAAAATGTTGAAACATCAACCACTCTTTACTTATTAAGTTACATAAGGTAATATATTTAAGCATGTGTGTTTTCATAAATTGGTGAATGGAAAAAATGTTTAATATTGCTTTGGTCTGTGTCTTTGCTAAAACAAGGTTACTAAGTGTTAAGATTCTATCATGTGTAATTTATATACAAAGAGTAGAAAAATTTTCAGTTGGGTTTCAATTGTAGTATTATAGTATCATAAAAAACATGAAAGTCTTTCATCTTATTAAAGTGGAGTAATTTGTCTAAATCAGAAATTTTATAAGAGTTGTTTCAAAATGTGAATTTATAAAAAGGGTTAACGGTTAAAAAATAGAGAAAAAGATTCAAGACGTGGAAATATATTAATATAAAAGGTTAAAGGAAAAAGAAATGTTTCTAGATGAGATAATCTCTGTGTGGTAAAGTAAAAAGTTGTAAAATGCCATTTAAAAAGATTTTGAGGAAACTAGACTTACTTTAAAAGCTTGAGAAAGGAAGAAAGAAGAAAAAGGTATTTGTACATGGCAGATTGAGACAAAGCTTCTCAATGGAGTTAAAAAAAAAGCCTTTGGTTGAAGGGCAGCCATGTAAACTAACATTGAAGCGATTTAAACAAAATCTAAGCCTCGTTTAAAAGAGTGAAGTTGTAGGTGGTGAAAAAGTACATTTAAAAGTACAGTATAGATGATAATTAAAAGGCTTTAAAAGGTTAAATTAAAGGTGGTTAAAATGCCTTCATGATGGAGGAAAGAAGCTTAATCTTAAAGGCATTACTTTAAAAAAATGGGAAGATAACAGGATAAAAGATATTTAGATAAAGAAGATTAAAAATCTAAAGTGAAAAACTTTAAAGACAGAAGTATAGAAAGTTAAAAAGAAAAAAGATAAAGAAGATGTAGAAAGAAAAAAATGTAGGAAGACAAGAATTTTAAACCCACAAAATAGGGAAAAGAAAAAAAACTAGGAGGAAAATAAGCAACTAAGGGTAAAAATACAAACCTTAAAAAAAGACAACTAGAAGATAAAAATAAGATAGAAAATGGTTGAAAATGTCAAGTAAAGGTATTTCAGATAGAAAATGCAAAAAGCTAAGATAACTATTAGATACAGACATATACTTATTAAAGCAAAAAGAGGGAATTGGAAAGGGGTATATATCCCCCAAAGATAAACTTAAAATAACGCTTTTTACTCTAAACTTTTTAAATTTGGATTCATCAGGACTTAGTGCTGCGGAAAGGCATATGTATCCAAAAAATGTACATAAGCCTAAAGTACTTTGGAAAGATATTCTAACAGGACAATGGAAAGGTCCTGACCCAGTGATTGTCTGGAGTCGGGGGTCTGTTTGTGTTTTTCCACAGGGAGAACAGCAGCCCATTTGGATTCCAGAGAGATTAACTAAAACAGTTTCTACAGATCGAAAAGAAGATGATTTGACTCAAATCCATAACAGCTGATATCCAGAACTCCAGCTTGGCCATTCTTACATCTGCGACAGTGATTAACCAGGATGCTTTTTTCAATAGCTATTTTATTATTGCATTTTTCCACATCATAAGGTTCTATTTTTATTTTTTGAGCTCATACAAACCTAGGTTAATGTTTTTCTGATCAGTTTTATTTTTTGACTGTGGAGTTTTTAAACATTGCAATGGAGATTTCACCTAGGTAAAGCTACAAGGCCTTTACTATTTTCTTATGTGTTGTACGTTTGTGTACACTCTTGTGTTTTGTGTTGTATGTCTGTATGTGCGTATGTCCATATTTCTTATATGAGGAGCGCTCATGAAAAAATGGATCCGAATTATTATTTTTTTTATTCACGTGATTTAAATGGTTTAATTTAAATTATGTAAACAGCTGTTAAGGATTGTTTTTAAAGGTGGTTAACAGATCTGTTTGTTTACTAGTTTAAATTAGGTAAAAGGCTGTTAAGGATTGTTTTTAAAGTAGGTTAACAGATCTGTTTGTTTACTTTCACCTTTCCTTTTCATTATATTTAATAATTCTTTTCAGGATAATGTCTCTTTAGCATCATTGCCAGAATTCCTATCTCCATCCCAGTGCCGGTGAAGAACTCAACAAGTAATGCTCAATCAAAGAGTCAACTTACTTTGGGAGGAAACGGATTTGGGGAGGAAATGGACATATTGATAGATTCCTCTGCTTTGAACTGCTTGCAGAACTTGCCTGGACTATGTAACTATCGTTTGGTGCAGCAAATTGTGGTAATGCTGGCATATCTTTGCTGATGGTGTCACTAGTGATGCAATTTTTCCCAAGGAGCCGTCAATTGGCTTGGTGTCGTGGCATTTCTGTATCCTCCTCCCTTCTGCTAGTGATGGTCTAAAATTTGGGGGCCAATGGCTTATGCTGGACCGGTAGTCAGTGACGGGTATGATCCAATTGCAGTGGTATCAACCTAAGACAGGAGGCTGACGCCTAAAGGTCAGTTTTCCGATGACGGGTAAGAACCATATGTTGAATTGGACAACCTACCAGGCACGGTCCATAAGCCACATTAACCTCACTCCCCCACTGGCACCAAGGCCAAATTTGGGGGCCAACAGAGGTGAGGCAAAGAACCTCACCCCCCCACTGGTGCATAGACCTATCCACAAGTATGGCTGTATGCTGGACCGGTAGTCAGTGACGGGTATGATCCAATTGCAGTGGTATCAACCTAAGACAGGAGGCTGACGCCTAAAGGTCAGTTTTCCGATGACGGGTAAGAACCATATGTTGAATTGGACAACCTACCAGGCACGGTCCTTAAGCCACATTGCTTGTTGTTTAATTAATCAGAAGGGGGGAGATGCTGGGAGCCATTAGCCAAGTAGGTATGACAATTTCCTTGCCAGCGTACCCCATGTTGCAGTGACATTGAATGTACGTGACCTTGCTCAAGGACCAAGGCAGATTAGGGTGTTCCCGGTTTTAAGATAATCTTGTTTAGGGCGTTCCCAGTTTAGGTTCCAGGTTTAAGGTTTAAGATTATTCCTGCTGGGAATAGGGCGTATCCTGCTGCCTGAGTTCCCCTTGAGTTCTCACGGGATTCAGACAGTATATTTTGGAGATAGAAGCCCAGTGGATGTGGATTTGGGCAGAGAACGTGAATTTGGGAGAGAAGGTGGATTTGGGAAGAGAACGTGGATTTCCCCAGAACGTGATTGTAGACGGCTGGTGTGAGTTCGGGAATAAAGAGTTGCTGTTTGAATCTACAAGCTGTGTGGTGGCTCGTGATTGTGTGCCCAGCCAGACTGCGGCATTTGTGCCCAGCCAGACTGCGGCACCTGGGACTCAGAGGTTTTAGAGATCTCAGTCCATAGAAGGCCAGCTCCATAGCTCTGAGCCTGAGATGAGGTAGAACATCATGGTGAAAGAGTGGAAGAGAAAACCAGCTCAAGACAAGGCAAGCAAGAGGCAGAGAGAGGACTCTGCTCACCATGGACCAAAATATACCCTAAAGTCATGGTACCTTCCCCAGGGACCTACTTCCTCCAGCCACCCTGCCTGCCAGGCCCTACCCAGTTAGACCTTAGCCATGGATTAGGTTACACCTCCCATAACCTAGTAATTTCACCTCTGAGTGCTCTCGCATTGTCTCACACACACACTTTTGGGGGATGCCACATATCCAAATAAAAGGCACCTTTGTCAAGTGTCAGAGGGCTGTAAGAATGTGGGTTTTTCTCTGTGTCTTGGATTCTATTTCACTGAACTTCATGTCATTTTGATGTCAATACTATGCTGTTTTGTCACCATAACTCTGCAGTATAACTAGAGATTGTGATGGTGCCACCGGCCCCACTCTTCTTGATCGGGCTTCTTTTGTCTGTTCTGGGTCTCTTATTTTTCCAAATGAATTTTAGAATTATTTTCCTACTTCTGTGAAGAATGTTTGAGTCAGTTTTTTTTTTTTTTTTCATCACTGTGACCAAGAAGACCCGACCAGAACAATTTTAGAGGAGAAAAAAAATGATTTGGGGCCCATGGTTTCAGAGGCCTCGGTCCCTAGAGAGCTCACTCCATATCTCCTGGCATAAGGTGGAGCAGAACAAGGTAGCAGCTGGGTGTGGTTGAGGAGAGCAGCTCAGGATGTGGCACTGAGAAGCAAAGGGAGAGAACTCTATTCACCAGGGACAAAATGTGAACCCAAGGCAGTCCCCCAGGGACCCACCTCCTCAGCCCTCAGGTCCTGCCTACCATCACCACCCATTTAACCCATACTAGTGGATTTAATTAGGTTAATGCTCTTAGAACCCAATGATTTCACCTCTAAACTTTCTTCCTTTGTCTTATGCACGAGCTTTTGGAGGTTCCTCATATCTAAACCATAAAAAAAATGTCATTGGCATTTTGATAGGATTGCATTGAATCTGTAAAGTGCTTTTGGTAAAATGGCCATTTTGACAGTATTGATTGTGTCTATCCAAGAACATGGGACATCTTTCAATCTCCTAAGGACTTCTACAGTTTTTTTTTCTTCAGTTTTCTGTAGTTTTTATTGTAGAGATCTTTCACCTCTTTGGTTAGATTAATTCACATTGTTTTCTCCTGAGGTTACTGTAAATGGGATAGTTTTCCTGATTTCTTTCTCAGCAGAATCACTGTTGGAGTGTAGAAAGGCTACTGATTTGATTGTTGATCTTATCTCTTCCTACTTTGCTGAATTTGTTTGTCAGCTCTAGAAGTCTTCTGTGAAGGTTTTTGATATAGGATTATATCATCAAGACATAGAGATAGCATGACTTCTTATTTGTATTCCTTTAATTTTCTTCTCTTGCTTGATTGCTTTGGTTAGAATTTTAAGAACTATATTGAAAAAGAGTGGTGAGAGATAACATCCTTGTCTTGTTCCTGATTTTAGAGAAAACACTTTCAGTTTTTTTCCATTCAGTATAATGTTGACTTTGGGTTTGTCACAATTAGCCTTTATAATGTTGAGGTAAGAATGGGACTCCAAATCATACAACCACTCTGGAAAGCAATTCGAGAATTAAGAACAAAAGAACCAAAGTCAGCAAACTATAATGATACAGGCACATCAATGTTGATAGGAGCACAATTCACAATAGCCAAGTTTGAACCAGCCCAGATGACCATTGGTAGAAGAATGGAACATGTGGTATTCATAACCATGAGGTTTCCTCAGTCATAAGGAAGATTGAAATTGTGGCATTTGCCAGTAAATGGATAGAAGTAGAGAACATCATACCAAACCAAAAAAGGCAGTCTCAGAAAATCAAGAGTTGAATATTTTCTCTCATATGTAGAAGTTAGAGCAAAGTAAGAGGAAAAAAGGGGGTTGGTAGGACATCACGGAGATAGAGAGAAAATCAATGGGGTAGAAGGAGATTGAGGGAGTGGGAGGAAGGTTGGGAAAGAGGAGGAAATACACAATAAATTGACAAAATCATGCTATGTACACATACAGATATACCACAGTGAATTCCACCTTTGTATATCTATGAAGTCCCAGTTAGTAATAAAAATTAATAAATGGAAGGAAGATCATAGGAAGGGGAATGGAGGGAAGGTGGAGGTGGGAGATGGTGGGGAGGGAGGAAACACAAGGAATTGGAACAAATTAAATTCCATGCCTGTGTGATTATGTCAAAAGGAACCCAACTATTAGAATGCATTAATAAAAGCATTAAAAGAAAGATAGTCCTTATGCCATTGGGCAGGCCTAGAAACCTCTGGTTACTCAGCAGTGGTGAACAGGGAGGTGCCTGCAGGTAGAGGGAGCCTATGCTATCTGTGGTGTTAGGTCAGGAGGCTGGAGCCCAGTGGTTCTCAGCTGCACCCTCACCATGATTGAACTGCCCATAAGAAATCAAGAATGTACTTAAATTGCTGCTATAATAGGGGATACTGGTGGTATTTTTCTTATATTTACCAAGTTAACGAGGAGTTGAGCACAGTCCAGATAAGAACGGGGAGCCATAGGGGTGTGGTAGAGGTAGCTGTCTCTGCCCATTTGTGCTGGTGCAGCAGAACAGCAGACTGGATGGCTGCATCCCCAGATCATTGACTCTTCTTTGCTCATTTGTATCCCTTTAATTTCCTTCTCTCACCCGATGGCTCTGGCTAGAATTTTAAGAACTACATTGAATGAGAGTGGTGAGAGATGACATCCGTGTCTTGTTCCTGATTTTAGAAGAAACACCTTTAGTTTTTCTCTGTAGCTGGAAGTCTGAGATCAAGGAACATGCATGGTTGGGATCTGGTGAGGTCCCTCTTGTGGGTTGCAAACGGCCCCTCCTTTAGTATCCTCACAATGTAGGAAGCAGGAGAGCTCTCTGAGGTCCCTGTAAAGAAGACACGAATCTCCATCCTGAGTGCTCCACCTCTTGACCCAGTCGCTTCCCAAACCACACTGCCGGCATTAGGAAGAGAGTTATTGAGCCCACATAAGGCTTGGGGGCCCAACGACATTCAGGCACACAGAACTCCCCAGGATCATATGATAAATGGGACTTACTCTGCTGTATGGTTTCATTCCTCAAAAAAATCATACAGCTCTTCAGAGAAAGCCCAGCTACACCTGCCATCCACATCTGAAAGAGGTTTCTCACCTAGACCCTTGTAGAGGGGGCCCTGGTCTCAGGGACTTTACCCTGGGTCACACGAAGCCTTCCAAAGGGTCCAAGTAGGGATGTCATTAGAGAACCGTGTTTGTGGAACTCGGGTTTCATAGATCCTCTTTTCTAAATGCAGTCTGGCTAAAAATGCAGCTGTAATTTAATCTTGAAGATTTTTAAGTTTTTTTTAAAGCCTTAAGGATATGTGAAATATAAAATCAATTTTTATAAGAGTAAGATGGGGTGATCGATAAAGACTTTAAAGCATAAAAATACATTAGGATAAAATGATGTGGAGTAAATGGACGAGAACTAGAGATTCAATGAGGACAAGCCACATCTATGATTTCTCACTTATGGAAAAGAAGGGCTTGTTTCCTGGGAAATGGTGAGCTTCAAATGGCTATGATATCTAGATTTCACTGGACATATTTTAAAACGTTTTTATCATTTTATTTTAAATTGCCAATATTCACAATGCCAGCAAGTGTATCCTTTCTGATTATTCCAATTTACTATGAATACTTTAGATTGAAATTTAAAAGTATGGAAGGATAGGCCATTGTCATTTTTTTTTACATGATTGAAGAGCACTAAAGTTTTGACGGCCTTTGATATTGAGAACTGCCATCTCCACAACATCTGGTGATAAATGTGATGGCTGTATTCCTATGGATGGCTTCTGAAGTGTTGTACAGCTCAGAAGAGACTGGGAGAACGTGTGGGTGGTGTGACAGAGAGGTGAGGGCAGGAAAGGTAGCCCTGGCTGGACTGAGGTGGCCTGGCATGGATCCCCAAGGCCAGCCATTGAGGGTGATACCTAGACTCCAGAGCAGCACCGTCAATGGACACATGTGGTGCTTAAATGGACCAATATGAAGGGAAATGGAAATTTAGTTCTACTGCAACTTCAGTCAATTTCAAGGAATCCACGGCTGCACCAGTGTGCCCTGGACCCAATTGACAGTACAAAGACAGCATATTTCTGTCACTGCACAGAACACTTGCTGTATCTATCATCTATCTATCTATCTATCTATCTATCTATCTATCATCTATCTATCTTTTGTGGTGCCAGGGCCTCCCATTTTCTGGGCAATCCCTGTACCCCAAAGCCACATCTCCAGTTCATTGCAGGTACTTTCGCTGGCTAAAATCATTCTTAAGAAAGGGGGGTATTTCAAGAATGCCACTTTTTTTCAAATGGACTTGACCTCAGATTCAGGTGGGCACATGCATCTCTTTTTCTCTGACTCAGGTCTACATGGCATAACATAGTAGGTATTGTGAGGAAGATGCATAAACTTTCAGAGGATCAGAACATATGGTGGGGTTGACAGGGTATAAATAAAATGCAAGAAATGTGTGTGAGAGCAGATTTGGAAAGTATTTTAGCTACAATGTTCAAATTGAACCTTACTGGAGGCCTTATCTTTATATAATGAGATATTTCTGAATATACCACTTCTTTCTTAGAATCACAGAAAACTTCAAGATTTGAACTTCAACATTTGTATTATATTACACACTGTTCACAATAAAAAAGCAATACTTATCTCTAAAGACGATTCTTTGGTTTTTATGAAATCATTTTCTTTGATCAAATTTGGTCTTCAGTTAAAATTAGTACAATGTTT